TAGATCCTCTAATCTCTGATCCAGTCCTGCATCTTTCTCTGGACGATCACGGCATCAATTACTCCCTTATTATCTGATTTTCTCCCAAAAAGTGTGCCGGCACCATGTAAGCAGAACATTTATGACTCGTTTCACATCACTAATGCTAAATGAACGCCTGCAAATTGATCTACAGTTGTAAAAAGATTATGAATATGGATTTTATTTTCATTATACTAGACTTTCCAAAGCCTAGATTCAAGATTAAAGTTTATATATGTTAAAAACACACATTTGCAATTTTTTTTTTATATATATGGAGTTGGAAAGTATGATATTATGATACTAAAATTCATATTGATAATCTTGTTGATGCTGTAATTAATCCATGTTTATGTATCAGTGTTATTTTAGTATCATTTAGATACTGTTATGGTTTTTAATAATATTTTGAATTCATTTTTATTTTCATTTATTTCATTTTAGTTAGTTTTAGCAATTTTGTTGTGAGTTTTTAATTTTTGATCGTTCTTGTTTTAATTAATTAATTTATTTATTTTGACAAAATGTCTATATAGTTTTTATTCATTTTTCAGTTTAAGTTATTTTAGAACATAAAAATTAAATTAAATTAAAATGAGAATTAGCGGGATTTTTTTAAAACGTTTTTTTAATTATGTTTGTTTTCAGTTGACATTTATTTTATTTGAAGTTAAAAATAACTAATGGTTTTAATTTTAATTATAACTGTAATTGCCCTGTTATGTAAGTATGCATTATATTTAAGCAATTATGTTGCAATTAGAGTAAAATTTACATTGTGGAGAACTACCTTGAGGAAAATAATATCTAAAATTCCCAAAATGTTTGTTTGATCAGTAGGTGGGGTTCAGATAGCGCAAATATAATGAGCTTAATATAAAAGCAATAGAAGCGAATGGTAAATTCCCACTATGATATAAAAACAGACTGTGTGTGTGTGTGTGTTGTACTGTGTTCTCGGTACAGTTACGTGACTAATTGGCCACTTACTCTCCGCCGATAGATTATCTGACCAGGTCTTGTGGCCCCCGCGGCCCCCATCCATGCGTCTTTCTCTGGACGAGCTCGGCATCGATCACACATAATCCGATTTCCCCCCAAAAAACAAATAATGAAGCGTTTCTGGAGCTTACCCTTTTAAGTAATTTAGCGATTCGTTCAAACTTGTGCGAATCGATGAAGTGGGTTTTGAAAGATGAGTCTAATGAATTCCCATGATGCTCTAATTTCGCCCTAATGCATCTCAGCGAAATTAAAACACACATTTGTGATGCTCAGATAAGCAGGATGGAGATTTTATCTGAATTGGAGCGTTTGGAGATGATGTCGTTATTTTGGACTCATCACACTAACTGCTCTAATTAGGTTTTCGATCATTTTATTTAGTCTCAGCTGAGACTCCCAGACTCTGCCGAGACTTTGGGCCCTGCTTCGTTTTTACATCGTAATTAATATTTTTATCCAATCAAAACATACTGAGTTCATCTATTTTTGTATCTTACAGGTAATTATAACAGTGGCACATTTGCATTTATATAGAAGTCTTAAAGACACAGTAGCAAAATCAGCTCATTTATTCATTGCATGACTTTATTTTCATCCGAAGAACACAAAAGAAAGATATTTTGAAGAACGTTGGTGGTCCATACAACATTGGGTCTCATTGACTTTCATTGGATGAACAGAAAATAAGCAGAGATTTATAATATCTTTGGGTGAACTGTCCCTTTATTTCTAAGAGAGAGGAAAATGGTCATGGAAAATGTAATTACTAAACTGAGTTACTGTATTTGGGGCAAAAAAGCTTGACAAATTTAATTGATTTATGCAATTAAATGCTGCATAAATCAAGGCCATAACAAAGTAAATAATAAAATAAAAAAATTATATTTAAATATCAAATAAAATAATTATAAAATTAAATACAATTTTTTAGGCTAGTCTGCCTCGTCACTCGTCAATGTCAATATTATTTCAACGGCCAATCAAATCAAAGAAGGCGGAGCTTAGTTTTAACGTGTTAGTTTTAATGGGGAACGTGTGCAAGGTGAGATGTAAGGCAGCTAAACATTTAATATCTGACTGTTTTATGACAGAAGTGTTAAAAGACTGACATGTAATATCCAGTGATGCAACATGTACCTTTTTTTTTTGTTGGTCATTTTAAAGGAATAGTTCGCCCAAAAATGAAAATTTGCTGAAAATGTGCTCACCCTCAGGTCATCCAAGATGTTGATGAGTTTGTTTCTTCATCAGATTTGTAAAAATGTAGCATTGCATCAGTGTCTCAGATATGGATGCTCTGCAGTGAATGGGTGCCGTCAGAATGAGAGTCCAAACAGCTGATAAAAACATCACAATAATCCACAGCACTCCTGTCCATCAGTCAACATCTGGAGAAGACAAAAGCTGAGACACATCCAGCATTAAGATGCTTTTAGCTAAAATACGAGTCCGTAATCCATAATAACGCTTCCTCCAGTGAAAAAGTGTTCTGGTGTGAATCAGGAGAGAAATCTGCACAGATCAAGCACCGTTTACATGCCAAAACAGCTCTAAACAAATATGTGTGTGATTTTGATGTGAAAGACAACAGGAGATGGATTTTTTCACTGGAGGAAGCGTTATTATGGATTATGGACTTGAATGAAACTGGTCCAGTTTGCTCCCCCACAATGTTCAAGATGTGGTTACAGCCTTGGCATAAATATGATAAATATATGATATGAGGCCATTAATAAATCATTAAGTTAAAGGCTTTTTTAACACATTGATTTCTTATTATGAATCACTGTGTGTGTGTGAAACCATTAGAATTTTTTATCGTTGGGTGTGTGAATGATTACTTCTACAGTTCACTGTTTGACTCAGAGATGTGTGTGTGTGTCTGTTAGGGTTGCAAAAAGGTGGAACATTTCCAGTAAATTTCGGAAACATTCCTGAAATTTTGAAAAATGTCCAGGATTTTTTGGAATATTCCAGGAATTTTTTGGAAAGTTTCTGGAAACTTGCTGGAAATTTTCCACCCCTTTCCAACCCTAGTGTCTATGTGTGTGTGTGTGTGTGTGTGTGTGAGAGAGAGAGAGAGTGTGTGTGTGTGTGTGTGTGTGTTGTGCCATTACAGGCCAGCGATGTATGTTGCCGGGGTGACAGTGAAGAGACGGTTGCTGTCCAACATCATCCATCTCTCTCTCTCTCTCAGTCTGTCTCTCTTGGCACAGGATGGTTCATTCATTCAAGGGCGCAGGGTTTGGTTTCAACATTTGAAATTCAATTCAGCTGCTCCATATGTTCACATACGCGTTACAGTGCCACTTACAGTTGATCATTTGTTCTTGTTTAAAAAAAACATTTTAGTCAGCATTTGCCCACAAGCTTTTGAATAAAAATCTTATCTGAATAATAATAATGCAGCTTTTATTTTAAAACCATGCATTTTAAATATGCATTTAAATGTGTTTAAAGAAATCAACTCGGCACAACTCTGAACAATTTTGCTTTTATTTTTGAATTTTCAGTTTTCATTCAGTTTTAGTCATTTTGTTATGTGCTTTTGTGATTTTCATTATTATTCTGTTTTTAATATTTCTAAATAGCTTTAATTTATTTTTATTTCAGTTTTAGTAATTTTAGAGCTTAAATTTCAGTTTAATATATTATTTTATTTCAATCACTGAAATTTGTTTTAATAGATTTAGTTAACAATAGCAACACTAGATGTATGTTTTAAATGCATGCTTTTTTAAATATGCATTTAAATATATTTGAAGAAATTGACTGATTCATTTAGCTTTTATTTAAAAAAATTATAGAGACAAATTAAAAAAATTAAAATGAAAAAAAAAACATGCAACAAAATCACTCAAATTAAAAAATTTAAGTGAAATCTAAATATAGTCATAAAAATAAATGCAAAATATTAATATAAATGGTAATAGTATATCACTGATACCAAAATAATGCTTGAATTTTATGTTAATATAGATAAAACAGCAGTATTATTTTAGTATTATTAATTACTAGTATTTATTCATATTTTGAATTAGCTTTCATTTTTATGTTTTCAATTTTCATTTAAATTTTTGTTTAAGTTTTAGTAATTTTGTTATGTGCTTTCGTCATTTTAATTAGTTTTTGTGTTTTTTTTTATATTTCTATATAGCTTCAATTTATTTTTATTTCAGTTTTAATAATTTTAGTACTTTAAATTTCAGTTCTAAATTTAGTTTTTTTTTTAAAGTTTATCATCTATTTATATTTTACTTTATTTAAGCTTTATTTCAATTACTGAAAACGATTTTTAATAGTTTTAGTTAACAATAACAACACTAGATGCATGTTGCATATTAACATAATACACACCTGACGTCATAAATGAAAGGAAATGCCTTTGTTATTGCAATTCTTGCATGATTTCCTCATTAAAAACCAACTCAATCAATCAAGTGAAAAGTTCCTCCGAAACTGGATTTCATGACTTTTTATGAAATCCCTTTAAACAACATTACACAAAGACTTTTGTGCAATCTTACAAAATTAGGTTAAACATCCAAAAACAAGAGTTTATGAAATCCAATAACAAAATCCGCCGAGAGGTATTTTAATGAAGCACAGGAAGTGATGTTTCCTTCTGAGCCGGTGCGTCTCAAACTCAACAGACGGCGTGATGTATGAAAGCTCCTCCTAAAGACACCGGCTTTCAGAGCACCTTAACGTCACGTCTAATGATCTAGAACACATTCGAGGGAGTTTCAGCGGGAACCAAATAATGCAGAGACCTTATATCGATATATGAATATTGCAGCAGCAGCTGTTTTCAGGTTTCGTCCAGCAGCTGTATCACATGTGCTGTTATATGTCATAATATTAGCGCGGTCATGGGATTACGGGCCGGGTGCACCTCTGGAAGCAGGGGTTAATTAAAAACGCTTCCCGCTGTGGGACAGGAAATGGATTGTTTCAGGAGGGGGTCATTTATAATGGCGTGCGGTGTGTGTGAGCGCTTGTACTAAGACACTCTTAATAGGAAGACTAATCCCCTCCCAGTCACAAAGTGACAGACCAATTACACACACACACCACCGGTCCTCCCCTTCCAGCGGCCCAGCGCTCGCTCTGTCCATCCCACAGACAGATCCTGACATCACCTGCCCGTCTGCGTGTGTGTGTGGTATGAATGAGAATCTGTGTGTGTGTGTGCATGTGTGCGTGTGTGTGTCTTTGAGTGTATATGTGTGTGGTATGAATAAGAATCTGTGTGTGTGTGCGTGTGTGTGTGTGTGTGTGTGTGTGTGCGCATGTGTATGTGTCTTTGCGTGTATATGTGTGTGGTATGAATAAGAATCTGTGTGTGTGTGTGTGTGTGTGTGTGTGCGCGTGTGTATGTGTCTTTGAGTGTATATGTGTGTGGTATGAATAAGAGTGTGTGTGTGTGTGTGTGTGTGTCATGAATGAGAATCTGTGTGTGCTTTATGCAGTGTCAGTTTGATTTGGGATGGTAATTTATTTAAATAGACTTTTTGACATTAGCAGGATCGGCATTTACACTCAAACAGATCACCTTATCTTTCATTTTTATTTTTTATATTTTCAGTTTTTTATTCTTATTTTAATTTATTTTAGTTTTAGTAATTTTGTAGTGTTCTTATGTCATTTTTACTTTTTTATTTTTTTATATTATTATTATTATAAAGCTATTATATAGCTTTATATGACTTATATTCTTTCTTTCTTTCTTTATATATTTTATATTATTTCTTTATTTAAGTTTTAGTCATTTTAATATTTTAAAAATTTATTATTTTATTTTATTAGGCTTTTTTCATTAAATATTTCTATATAGCTTTCATTTATTTTTTATTTCAGTTTTAGTAATTTTAGTACTGTAGTTCTGACATCAGCATTTAAACATTTCATGTTTTTTATTTTTCATTTATTTTAATTTTCAATTTTAGTTTAAGTGTTAGTAAGTTTGTAATGTGTTTTTGTCATTTTTTTAATCAGTTTTTGTTGTAAATAGAATATTGAATAGATTTGTATATAGAATATATACAGTATATATAGAAAAAATGTATAGAAAATAATTGTTACTTAAAATAATTGAAATAAAATATTTAAAAACCTTTTCTAATTTTCATTTAGTTTAACTCGATATACTAAAATAACTAAAACTGCTGAAAACACGCAAAACAATTACTAAAGCTTTGACTAAAATTAAAATTAAAACAGAAAATATAAAAATGAAAACTATATTAATTCTGATTGCCAGGTGACATTTACAATTTTCATCTTAGTTTGTTTAAGTGTGTGTTATGCAGTGTCATATTGATTTGGGATGGTAATTTATTTAAATAGACTTTTTGACATTTAGCAGGTTCAGCATTTAAACAAATCTTTCATTAATATACTGAATAGCATTTTCATACTGTAAGTGTATTTCTGTTTGCATGGTGAGTGTGTGTGTGTGTGTGTGTGTGTGTGAGAGAGAGAGAGAAAGAGAGAAAAAGAGCGTGCCTAGGTATTAATTTCATATTGATGCATTAGATGCTGATGTGTGAGTTTTAAGCTGTAATTGATTCAGCCTTTTTAATGTTTTAACTTTTACACCATGGTCATGTCATAAATTTGATAGCTCAATTACCTAATATTGATTTGCACGCAGTAATGTGTGTGTGTGCGAGGGCTTGAGTGTATAAGTGCGTGTTTGAGCCCATGCGGAGGAAAGTTGTGTGTGTGTGTGTGTGTGTGTGAGAGAGAGAGAGAGAAAGAGAGAAAAAGAGCGTGCCTAGGTATTAATTTCATATTGATGCATTAGATGCTGATGTGTGAGTTTTAAGCTGTAATTGATTCAGCCTGTTTAATGTTTTAACTTTTACACCATGTTCACCTAGGTATTAATTTCGTATTGCTGCATTAGTTGCTGATGTGTGAGTTTTAAGCTGTAATTGATTCGGTCTTTTTAATGTTTTAATTTTTACACCATGTTCATGTCATAAATTTGATAGCTCAATTACCTAATATTGATTTGCACGCAGTAATGTGTGTGTGTGCGAGGGCTTGAGTGTATAAGTGCGTGTTTGAGCCCATGCGGAGGAAAGTTGATTGTTTATTGTTTACCATGTTGCTTTCATAGCTCGGGTGATGCAATGGAGTTATTAGTTATGTTTCATTGAAGTATGTTACAGGTCAAAAGTTTGGAATAATAATTTTAAAAAAAAAATGTTTTTGAAAGAAAAAGTCTCTTCTGCTCACCGAGGCTGCATTTATTTGATCAAAAATACAGTAAAAAATGTAATATTCTAAAATATTATTACAATTTCAAATAATGGTTTTCTATGTGTATATATATTAAAATTAAATTTATTCCTGTGATCAAAGCTGAATTTCCAGCATCATTCCTCCAGTCTTCAGCGTCACATGATCTTCAGAAATCAGTATAATATGCTGATCTGCTGCTCGAGAAACATTTCTGATTATTATCAATGTTGAAAACGTGCTGCGAATATTGAAAAAAAAAAACATTTAAAAGTTTGGGGTAAGTAAAGAGAAATTAATACTTTTATTCAGCAAGGATGCATTAAGTTGATCAAAAGTGGCAGTAAAGACAATTATAATATATCAAAACATTTCCATTTCAAATAAATGCTGTCCTTTATTTATATATATATATATATCAAATAAATGCAGCCTTGATGAGCAGAAGACAAAAACATAAAAAAATCAGAATCATTCCAAACTTTTGACTGATAGTCTATGAACTCCGTTTCTCCTAAAAATAAAAATAGACACATTGGAGTCAATAGTTGTTGTGTATTAACAGTATGGAGTTATAAAATGAATATGGAGCAGCTCAGATCATTTGGACACTTTGCACAGACACTCGACACTTTAACACTCACTTTATCGTCAACGCGCTGCTTCATGATAATGTGAAGACGATTGCATACGGGTTCTCTTATTATTATTCTAAAGTGCATATACTTTTGTTTTGGCATTGTTTATTTGTGCTGTTCTTCCTTGTTTTGTCCTTTATTGCATATTGTTTTATTGTCTTATACTTATGATTGCAAACTGTCTATTTTGGTAAATCTGAGACACCGTTGAGAGTTGTGTGTGTTTCTGTGGTGCTTGTGTGTTTCAGAGATTCAGTGTCATGACTGGGGTGTGTGGAGCAAGGGTGTGTGTGTGTGTGAGAGAGAGAGAGAGAAAGAGAGAAAAAGAGCGTGCCTAGGTATTAATTTCATATTGATGCATTAGATGCTGATGTGTGAGTTTTAAGCTGTAATTGATTCGGTCTTTTTAATGTTTTAATTTTTACACCATGTTCATGTCATAAATTTGATAGCTCAATTACCTAATATTGATTTGCACGCAGTAATGTGTGTGTGTGCGAGGGCTTGAGTGTATAAGTGCGTGTTTGAGCCCATGCGGAGGAAAGTTGATTGTTTATTGTTTACCATGTTGCTTTCATAGCTCGGGTGATGTAATGGAGTTATTAGTTATGTTTCATTGAAGTATGTTACAGGTCAAAAGTTTGGAATAATAATTTTTTTTTAAAAATGTTTTTGAAAGAAAAAGTCTCTTCTGCTCACCGAGGCTGCATTTATTTGATCAAAAATACAGTAAAAAATGTAATATTCTAAAATATTATTACAATTTCAAATAATGGTTTTCTATGTGTATATATATTAAAATTAAATTTATTCCTGTGATCAAAGCTGAATTTCCAGCATCATTCCTCCAGTCTTCAGCGTCACATGATCTTCAGAAATCAGTATAATATGCTGATCTGCTGCTCGAGAAACATTTCTGATTATTATCAATGTTGAAAACGTGCTGCGAATATTGAAAAAAAAAAACATTTAAAAGTTTGGGGTAAGTAAAGAGAAATTAATACTTTTATTCAATTTCCAGCATCATTCCTCCAGTCTTCAGCGTCACATGATCTTCAGAAATCAGTATAATATGCTGATTTGCTGCTCGAGAAACATTTCTGATTATCATCAATGTTGAAAACGGTTGTGCTGCGAATATTGAAAAAAAAAACATTTAAAAGTTTGGGGTAAGTAAAGAGAAATTAATACTTTTATTCAGCAAGGATGCATTAAGTTGATCAAAAGTGGCAGTAAAGACAATTATAATATATCAAAACATTTCCATTTCAAATAAATGCTGTCCTTTATTTATATATATATATATTATATCAAATAAATGCAGCCTTGATGAGCAGAAGACAAAAACATAAAAAAATCAGAATCATTCCAAACTTTTGACTGATAGTCTATGAACTCCGTTTCTCCTAAAAATAAAAATAGACACATTGGAGTCAATAGTTGTTGTGTATTAACAGTATGGAGTTATAAAATGAATATGGAGCAGCTCAGATCATTTGGACACTTTGCACAGACACTCGACACTTTAACACTCACTTTATCGTCAACGCGCTGCTTCATGATAATGTGAAGACGATTGCATACGGGTTCTCTTATTATTATTCTAAAGTGCATATACTTTTGTTTTGGCATTGTTTATTTGTGCTGTTCTTCCTTGTTTTGTCCTTTATTGCATATTGTTTTATTGTCTTATACTTATGATTGCAAACTGTCTATTTTGGTAAATCTGAGACACCGTTGAGAGTTGTGTGTGTTTCTGTGGTGCTTGTGTGTTTCAGAGATTCAGTGTCATGACTGGGGTGTGTGGAGCAAGGGTTCGGTGCGGGTGTATGACGGGGAGGTGGCGTATCTCTACTGTCCGCTCTTCTCTCATCCCACGCTCTACAGCTACAGTCAGACTCAGAACAGCAGTCTGTCTCTGCTGTGGTACCGACACCCACACACACACGAGCTGGAGCAGCCCATCAACCTCAAACTACACACACTGCACAAAGACCGCGAGTACCTGTGGATTCAGCCGGCCTCGGCGCAGGACGCCGGACTCTACATCTGCATGCTCCGGTAAACACTCACACACAGATGTGCACAGCCACATGCAGTCAAAACTGACTAGTTGGATGGTTGTCTGATTTACGGTGAACACAAATACATTATGAAAGTAAAATGTGTTAGTGAATGCTGTTTCGTGCTGGTAGAACATCATGATTGATTACTAATTCCTGCAACCCATGATATATTCATAAATTCATTTTTAATGGCATTTTATACTTGTAGCCTTCAAAAGCAGCAGAATTGTTTGTCATATCATCATTCAAATCCCATATATGTCAAAATGATAAATGTTACAAAAATGTAATTGTTACATGTATGTATATGTAATATAAAATAATATAATAAAAATTTTATATAAAATTAAATAAATGTGTAACCAAATCATGCAGGTTATTTCATCATGTTTATTTATTTCATATTTTAAATTATTTTATTTGGGTGTAATTATATTATTTTATTACTTACATGTAATCAAATCATGCACGTAATTTGTTAATGATATTAGTAATTTAATTTAATTTAATTTAATTTAATTTAATCTAAACAGAAATGTATAATCAAATCATGCAGGTTATGTCATCATGTTAGTGTTATAATTGAATCGAATCTAAATATAATGTAATGCAATGTAATAATTTAATTTAATTTAATTTAATTTAATCATGCAAGCAATTTCATCATGTTAGGTTTAAGTTAGGATATACAGTAAATGTATCAAATCTAATATAATAATAATATATATAAAGATAAATAAATATGATTTGATCTAAATATGTAACAAAATCATGCAGGTTTTATCATCATTATAATATAATAATATAATATAATAACAAATTATTTGGATCTAAATATAAACATGTAACCAAGTCATGCTGGTTATTTCATCATGTTAGGGTTATGTCAGGATATAAATACATATTATATAGATCTAAATATAAACATGTAACCAGTCGTGCAGGTTATTTCATGATGTTTTGTGTGTGTGGCAGCAACATTTCCTCGTGTGTGAAGATCGGCGTGGAGCTGGAGGTGATTCAGAAGGACGGAGAGTGTGACAGGAGAGCTCAACCTCACCTGAACCTGACTATACCGTTCCAGAGCGATCAAACCCTCACCTGTCCAAACCTGAACACACTCACGCTGCCCAACAGCACACACTCCGTCAGCTGGTACCACGTGAGTCTCTCTCTGTGTGTGTGTGTGTGTGTGTGTGTGTGAATAAACCTCTGAGACTATCATAATTAAATATGATGCTGGAAACTCATCCGACTGTTATGAAGCAAATTAATTTCTTAATCTCCAGAGCCGCACGGCTAATGAACTGAGAAGACGTGAACTCAAACAATCAGCATCATTCAGTTTAAAGGTTGTATGCGAGCAAAACTATCAAAATGCAAATCAGTACGGGCAATTTGTCTGTTTAAAGAGTCGTAACAATGCAAGAAATGACCTGAAGCGATAGCGGGTATGAAGAAAGATGTATTATCTACTGTATATGCTAGTGCACTACTAAAAGACTAAATAACCTAAACACGTCTAAAATGCACGACTGTATAAAGTTAAGATGAACCACTGCTATTGGAATGAATGGGAGAAAGTGGACGCCCATATATGGCGACTCTAGTAAAATAAGTCCCGCCTTCCAAATAAAAGAGCCAATCAGCAGTCTGCAAACTCACTATCTGCCGTTTGACACTCAGATGACGCATTTCATGTCCTACTAGTTGTGAGGATGAAATCCCTCGCCTCGCTGCAGCACTGCAAGTGTGTGCATTCAGCTTCAAATACACTGTGCCCTGATCAGACTACAGATCTATATTTCCTGCACAGCTTGTTAAAGGTCATTTCAGTCAGTTGACAGTGTTTTAACTGCATTTTCATGGTGCAATACGCATAAAATGCAGAAAGCTGTTGCTTGTGGGAAAAATAGTTGCATGACATTTAGAAAAGTTAATCCAGTGTTTTTGTGGCAATTTATGAGGAGTTTTTTGTGTGTAAACGTAGATAAGGCATAAAGTGAGTTATAATAATAATTATTATTATTCTTATATAAAGGCCTATAAACATTATTACTGTATAAACGTCTTTATCAGGGATTCCCAAAATTTTAGTATCAATAACATACTATATATAATTAAATTAAATTAAATTAAATTAAATTAAATTAAATTAAATTAAATTAAATTAAAACTTATTATTTGGATGTTAAAATGTAATCAAATCATGCAAGTAATTCCATCATGTTTGAGAAACCCGGATCTAATGGAATTGCACATCATCCAGGGTCTATAGTTAATAAAAACGAAAAGATAAGAACACTTAAAAAAAACATTTTGGTTACTTGAAATAAAATAAACAAACAGAAATAAAAAAATTAAAAAAACATTAAATTACTAAAACTGAAATAAAAATGAATAAAATCTAAATAGACATAAAAATGAATAAAAGGACTAAAACTAAAACTAAAAAGCCCTTATTAAAACAAAAATTGATTGGACGGAAGATACCCTGATTATAATGACACCATCTCCCTTCTAGAGAGTGTGAAGTGATTTAAGAAACATGAAGCTAGATCAGTGACATCTGTTTCTCGGTAGTTATGCAGGACTGAACTGTTTCGAGGAGACCGGGAGCTGAAAGGAGATGATCTGGTGATCTACAGGATGATGGAGCCGTACACCGGACTCTACACGTGTGTGGTTTCTTATCAGATGAACGGACGCACGCTCCAGTTCACACGCAACATCAACGTCATAGCTGTTGGTACGATTTTATCTCATTACTGTGGTAGCTTATTTTAAAATAATAATAATAATAAGTAATTGCAACTTTTTACCAATTCTGACTTATTTCGTGCAATTGCAAGTTTATATTTCACAATTCTGACTTTTCTCAGCTTTTCTTGTTTCCTCTCATCTCAATTCTTATATATATAATGACAAACTAAAATTTTAAATGAAATCAGAAAATAAAAACTAATTTAAAATATTAATAAAACTATAATTGTTAACACTGAAATAACACTGACATCATCTCCTTGCAATTCTGTTTATTTCTCCCAATTTTCACTTTTGTTTTTTGCAATTCTGAGTTTATATATCGCAATTGCGAGTTTATATTTCACAATTCTGACTTTTCTCAGCTTTTCTTGTTTCCTCTCATCTCAATTCTATGGAAGCTCATTTCCGCCAGGATATAAAAATATAAAAAAGGTAATTGCAATGTCAAAATTCTGATGTTTTTTCTCTTGCAATTGCAAATTATACACTCATAATTCTGACTTTTTTCCTCTGAATTCTGAGTTTACTTCTCACAATTACGTTTTTTTTGTTTGTGCCACTGAATTAAAAATAAAAAGTTAATTGTGAAAAAAAAAGTATATTTAAAAAAAAAATTCTAAATTGAGAAAAACAAAAAATTTAAATGAAAACTTTCATCAAACGAATTTTAAATATTAATAAAAATTATAATAGTTAATCATTATAATAACACTGCAATTCTGAGTTTATATCTCGCAATTAACTTTTTTCCCCTTACAATTCTCGCAATTCTAAATGTATATCTCGTAATACACTTTTCTCGCAACTGCGCGTTTATATATAGCACAATTTGGTTTATATCTCATATTTGTGACTTTACATCTACCAATCCTGTTTTTTTTCATGCAATTCTAAAGTTTATTTCTCACATTTTAGGAGAATTCTTTTCAGAATTGTGAGATTAAAAAATTGAGATTACCTGTTTTATAGTTTTAATCTGTGGCAGAGAAAGCTTCCATATATTTGGTCTCATCTCAAGATTCACACATTCGTCTTTCTTTACTGTAGTTCCTGATGTGGGCAGTAAAGTTCCCATCGTTCTGAATCCCGCGAGCGATCAGATCTACACAGTGACTCTGGGTGAGCGTCGTCGTCGTCTTTCCTTGTTTTTGCCATGTTTTCTGCAGTATGCATCACTGAACGAACGTCTCTGCATTGCAGGAGACACAGCGACGCTGTCCTGTCGTGTGCTTCTGCCTCACCTGTACGAGGAAAAGCAGTACATCTGGTGGACCGTCGATAACAAAACCCTGGAGCAGCTCGCCGACCCGCGATTCAGCTCACCTGAGGCCAAGTAGGGATGTGTTTGTGTGTTTCTCACTTCTTCAGTCTGTCTCGATCTCTGTTTTATCGACTCGTGTGTGCGTGTAGGCTTGTGTCGAATGATTACGGTGACGAGAGGAAAGAACGAGTCCTGTATGTGATGGATTTTTCAGCTGACGACCTGCAGAGGGAGTTTAACTGCTCCGCCAGAAACAGCCGCGGGATTAACACCAGCAGAGCCGTACTCAAAACCGAACGTAACTACACACGCTAACACCTCTAACACACACATGCATATCTGTTCAAATGTAATTGATTGCTGTGAATTTTCAGCATCATTACTCCAGTCTTCAGTGTCACATGATCTTCAGAAATCAGTATAATATGCTGATCTGCTGCTCCAGAAACATTTCTGATTATTATCAATGTTGAAAACAGTTGTGCTGCACAATATTTTTGTGGAAAACGTGATACATTTTATTTTTCAGGATTCACAGATGAATAGAAAGTTCAAAAGAACAGCATTTATTTGAAATAGAAATCTTTTGTAACATTAGAAATGCCTTTACTGTCACTTTTGATTAAACTAATGCATCCTAAAAGTATTAATAAAAAAAAAACAATTTAAGAAAAAAAATCCTACTAACCCCAAACTTCTTAGCAGTAGTATATAAAGGCAGCTATATAATTAAAAATACATTTTGTGTTGGAAAAAATAGCAAATAAATGTAAAATCAGCATTGTTACCATTGTACTAAATCCTAAATAAAAACTAATTCAATCTTTGATGAATAGAAAAAGTTAAAAAGAACAGATTTTTTAAAAATAGAAATCTTTTTTAACACTATAAATGTCTTTACTGTTACTTTTAATCAATTTAATGCATCCGTACTGTTATTCAGCTAAATTTCTCTCAAAACCAAAACTGTAGTAACTTACTTTCACCAAAACTTCAAACTAAAAGAACTTTTATAATTGCTATATTTTTATATTGTTCTAAGAAATATATTTTATATAATTGTCTTTATTTATTTAAGATTCATTTTTATTTTAATCATTTTAGTTTCTTCTACTCTAAATTTGGCATAAATATGCTGCTGATAAGGCATTAAAAGACTAATTGGCGTTTTACACGCCAAAACCATTTTTTAAATCGCATTTGGCACTTGTTTGTTTTGGACTCTGTATGCCCGTAGGTTTATTTTGGCAACAAATGCTGATCAGAATTCAGACTAAAATTGTATTAACTTAATTTTAATTAGTTTTTTGTTGAGCATATGTCATTTATGCATTTGGCAAATGCTTTTATAATTGACCTAAAGCACTGCATGTGTCTCTTGAACCCATAACATGCTTTACCAGTTGAGATATAGAAACATTAGGAGCTAAATTTGACCAGTGAGATCAGTATTTCTGTGTCTATGTGTGTATATAATCTTGTCTGTCTGTCTGTGTGTGCGTGTGCATATGCGCGTGTCTGTGTCTGTGTCTGTCTGTGTGTGTGTCTGTGTCTCTGTGTGTGTCTGTGTGTGTGTGTGTGTGTGTGTCTGTCTGTCTGTCTGTCTGTCTGTCTGTGTGTCTGTGTTTTTCTTGTGTGTGTGTGTGTGTGTGTGTGTGTGTGTGTGTGTGTGTGTGTAGCGTACGTCCCGACTCTAGAGCTGGGCTGTGGTTTAGGTGTGACGCTGGCGCTCATGTTGATGATGTTCGTCATCTATCACGTGTTCTGGCTCGAGCTGCTGCTGCTCTATCGCTCGTGGTTCGGCTCAGATGAGAGATACACGGGTGAGAACACAAACACATTCACTGACACGATGCTGTGTTTCATGGGTAGTTAAAAGCTGGTCTGTGTTATCAGGTTTAAGCTCAAACGTTTAAGCTCGAGGTTAACCACCATGAGGACAAAGTCAACTAAATTTACTGGCCTTAAATATATATTGCATTGCTACTTGTGTGTATATGAGCAATATATATGAGCAATATCACACGGGTAGCAGTGTGATATGGCTGTATAACAGCACGGCTGTGATTCGGCCGTAGCTTGACTAGTAACGAGCAATATGTACTCTCACTAGCTGGGTTTCCATCCAAAGTTGCGCAAAATTGGAATATTGCATAAAACATTTGCAAATAAGCACCACTTCCATCCAATGAGTCAAAGAGAACAAAATCATCACTTCCTGATAAACTGGCACTAAATATCGCTAAGAAAAGTATAAGTCACAAGATCGGTCCGCTGGTCAGTCAGGTTATGACTTTTTTGATGCGCATGGAGGAATTAATTCGGCAAATGTGTTTCCGTCTCCCATTGTTCGCATTAACCCTTTTTCACACAAGTCAAAAACCACCTCAAGCGAGCGTAAAACCTTTTTTGCGAATTAAGCGATTTTTTAATTTATTTGTCTTTTCCATCACTCGTTTCTGATGCGATATGTCAAAATGTGTATAAAAACAGAGTGATGGAAACATAGCTACTGTTGAAGCTCAAACTGGAGTTTAACACTAGTAGTGACTGAACTCTGTTTCTGCAGATGATAAGCAGTATGACGTGTACATCTCATACGCTCGCAACAGTGAGGAGGAGGAGTTTGTTCTGTCCACGCTGCGTCGAGTCCTGGAGACTGAGTTCGGTTACTCCGTCTGCATCTTCGACCGGGACAGTCTTCCTGGAGGAAGTGAGTATCACGTGTGACTCCAGACATACTGTACAGCAGGGGCAAAGCGGCTTCATTCACTGTTAAACTCCATCCAGTTTAATGCGCATTTAAGAATGTGTACGCTTACATCATTTACATTCACATTCGCATTACTGACTACTTTTAGTGGACAGACGTTTACACCATTTCACCATTAAAATAAAAGCTTGAGGATTTTAAATGTTTAAAATTCGAGGGTTTAACATTTGAAAGTGAAGGATTTAAGACACAGTGAACACAGTTTTATAAATATAAAAATAAATAAAAAACTATACATGTATAAAAAAAAAAATATATAAAAAAATGTTAAACGTCAACTAAAATTACAGTAAAAACAAACACAAAAAAAATATCAAAAATATTAACTAAAATTATAATAGTGTATGACACTAAAATAACTCATAGAAAATTTAAATAACTTTTTTTAAATATATTTAAAAATAACATTTAATATTTTATCTATTTATTTGCATGTCATGTGACCATCAACTGTGAATTTGCATATATATTGTTAAATTATTGAATTATTAACTTAAAAAGAGTTTGGGAATACCTGCTTTATGCAAGTACGTGAACACAGACACAAATTTACAGTTTGTAATACAGTGCAAGCACGTGTCAGCGTTGTTATTGTTAACTATTTTTAAAAAGTGGTCATTTAAACGATGCTGAAATACAATAAGATACAAATATTACATGAAAAACTAAATGAAACTTAGAAATAAAACTATAACCAAATGAAACCTAAATGGTAGTATTTTAAGAAATTAACATAAATAAAATAAATGAAACTAAATGATAATATAAAAAAAGATAGAATTGCAGAAATAAAAACTAAAACTGAAATAAAAATAAATGTAAATGCAAAATATTCATAATAAAAAAATAAAATAAAAAAAACACTAGCTTTCTAACCTTTTGGTATTCTATCTGTTTTCTTTATATTTATTATATAATTAAAAAAAAACTTGCTATGTGTACTACGTTAAGCTAACTGAGACTTGTTATAGCACTTGCATATCATTGCTCTTTTGTTGATTTTGATTGCTTCTATTGTCCTCATTTGTAAGTCGCTTTGGATAAAATGTAAATGTCTAAATGTAATGTAATGTAAAATAAAAAAACTGAAACTGACAAAAGCACATAAAGATTCAAATAAGACCTGAAAATATATATAAATGATACTAAAATATCACTAGTATGTTTTGGCTGTATAGTGAACGTTAGCATGAAGTGTTGATCAAATCCTGTCATGCAGAACGAGTGAGTGTGAATGTGATGTGTGAATGATGTATTGTGTGGTGTGTTACTGAGCGTGTGTCTGTGTGTAGCTATAACAGACGATACGCTGAGGTTTGTGGGTCAGAGCCGCAGGCTGGTGGTGGTTGTGAGTCCGTGCAGCGCTGTCCGCGGGACACAGGCTCTGCTCGAGCTGCAAGCCGGACTGACCAGCATGCTCCACGGCGGCAGCCTCAGGGTGGTTCTGATCCAGTTCAAACCGGTCCAGAGGAAGAGCTGGGTCAAAGAGCTGCGCCGGGCCCGGCTGGCGCTGACCCTCGTACGCTGGCAGGGCGAGAAATCGGCCCCTCTGTCCTCACGCTTCTGGAAACAGCTGCAGCTGGAGCTGCCCATGAGGAGGAACACACAACACACACAACACACACAACACACGCAAACGCTGCTACCAGATATCACACAACACACACCCGACACACACACACAAAACACACATCATGCAGAAGAGAAACTCATCGATCCTTACTCTACCAGTGCCTTATAGACATCAGCTGTGTCCATAGTCAAGCTTTTGCATAGCGCTTTTCACAATCTGCATCATTTCAAAGCAGCTTTACAGACAGTGAATGTCATATAGTATTTTCAGTGTAAATTTTGTATTATATTTATACTGTAATGGTATTTAGTAATATTTTGAGTTAGCTTTTATTTTTATATTTTCAGTTTCCATTTTAGTTTTGGTTGTTGTGTGGTTTTATCTTTTATATATATATATATATATATATATATATATACTGTATATATATGGGTCAAATACAAAAATGGGTTTCAAAACAAATAAAAATAAAAGTTTAATACACTAAATACATTAAAACTTAGTCCCCCCTCCCATACATTATATTGCGTCCTGTTTAATGCAGAAAACATTTTTTGAGCAAAAAATAATGATTATCATACATTCACAAAATTCACGGTAGCAATAGTTCATGTAACAAGAAAATCTAGTCAGGCATATTTAGATCAAGAATCATTAACGACATTAAAAGACTCTGTTTAAGGATCACAGTTCAGCCCACATAAAGCACTAGGTTTGACCCATTTGTCAGCAAGAAGTTTTTAATCAATTAAAATATAATAAAAAATTGTGTAAATTTATTTTGATGCGCACACCAAAATGGGACGCCTTGTCTTTGACCCATATATATGTGACCCTGGACCGCAAAACCAGTCATAAGTGTCAATTTTTTGAAATTGAGATTTCTACATCAAATGAGAGCTGAATAAATAAGCTTTCCATTGATGTATGGTTTGTTAGGATAGGACAATATTTGTCTGAGATACAACTATTTGAAAATCAGGAATCTGAGGGTGCAAAAAAATCTAAATATTGACAAAATCATCTTTAAAGTTGTCCAAATGAAGTTCTTAGCAATGCATATTACTAATCAAACATTAAGTTTTGATATATTTACGGTAGGAAATGTACAAAATATCTTCACGGAACATGATCTTTACTTAATATCCTAATGATTTTTGGCATAAAAGAGAAATGTATAATTGTGACCCATACAATGTATTGTTGGCTATTGCTACAAATATCCCCCAGCGACTTAACACTGCTTTTGTGCTCCAGGGTCACATATATATAATTTTTTTATTTCAGTTTTAGTGCTTCAACTTATTGTATTTCCGTTAGCTGCCAAGTTTTATATTTATATTTTATTTCAGTTAACAAAATGATTTTAACAAAATGATTTAACATTTGCATACTCACCGTTCTCTGATGTCCGTTAATGATATATATATATATACACATACATACAGTATATATAGTTTAAAAATATTTAATTTTATGATTATGATTTATTTATGATCTTTGTATCACCTCTCAAACCCCCTGCAGTTCCCTCAAAAACCGACAGGGACCCTGCTGCAGTGGGTTAGGATTGTAGTGCACTCATCTGCACTAGATCATCTCCACTGTGGTTTCAAACGCCACTTCTGCCAATCTCTGACACCTGAAATAGCGTGCTATAAAACAGGATTTTAGAGGTTTCATTCCCTCTTTCATGCTCCATAACAAACCTCCAGCTGTTTTCATTCAATTGCATTTGATTCTTTGCATGTTTATTTTGTTGTTGTCATGCATCACTGTGTTCTTCATTTATGACCTTGTCATGTCCAGTATGTTCTGTGATCACATTTTTAAACTGCTTTGATAAATAAAAACGTATTTTTGCATCTGCACCGGTTTCATTTATTCATTTCATTACATTTCTCATGATGATTTCATACTGAACCTGATCATTCCATGACAGCAGCTGATTATTTACACTCATGATCATGGATGATGAAATGTTTGCGTAAGCATTTCCTTTCAGTCATCAGTGAATAGAGGAAGTGGTAAACCTCAACCAATCACATGCCGTCTTGCCCCGGTGAATCTGGTTATGTGTGTGTTTCTCAACTCGAGGTCTGGAGAAGCCAGATCAGCTCCGTTCTGATTCTCTGGAAAGAAAAACCCCACATACGTCTAAATATATCGCAACATGTTTCCAGCCTCCTTTGTTTTAGCAGTATTTTTTTCCATTGGCAATTCAGAAAGTTCAAAAGGCATTCGAAAATGTACCATCTGCCATTAGTTTAAAGGAATAGTTCACCCAAAAATGAAAATCTGCTGAAAATGTGCTCACCCTCAGGCCGTCAAAGATCAGGATGAGTTTGTTTCTTCATCAGATTTGTAGAAATGTAGCATTGCATCAGTGTCTCAGCAATGGATGCTCTGCAGTGAATGGGTGCCGTCAGAATGAGAGTCCAAACAGCTGATAAAAACATCACAAGTAATCCACACCACTCCAGTACACCAGTTCACATCTGGAGAAGACAAAAGCTGAAACTAATCCAACATTAAGATGTTTTTAACTTCCATAAAATCATCTTTAAAGTTGTCCAAATGAAGTTCTTAGCAATGCATATTACTAATCAAACATTAAGTTTTGATATATTTACGGTAGGAAATGTACAAAATATCTTCACGGAACATGATCTTTACTTAATATCCCAATGATTTTTGGCATAAAAGAAAAATGTATAATTTTGACCCATACAATGTATTGTTGGCTATTGCTACAAATATCCCCCAGCGACTTAACACTGCTTTTGTGCTCCAGGGTCACATATATATAATTTTTTTATTTCAGTTTTAGTGCTTCAACTTATTGTATTTCCGTTAGCTGCCAAGTTTTATATTTATATTTTATTTCAGTTAACAAAATGATTTTAACAAAATGATTTAACATTTGCATACTCACCGTTCTCTGATGTCCGTTAATGATATATATATATATACACATACATACAGTATATATAGTTTAAAAATATTTAATTTTATGATTATGATTTATTTATGATCTTTGTATCACCTCTCAAACCCCCTGCAGTTCCCTCAAAAACCGACAGGGACCCTGCTGCAGTGGGTTAGGATTGTAGTGCACTCATCTGCACTAGATCATCTCCACTGTGGTTTCAAACGCCACTTCTGCCAATCTCTGACACCTGAAATAGCGTGCTATAAAACAGGATTTTAGAGGTTTCATTCCCTCTTTCATGCTCCATAACAAACCTCCAGCTGTTTTCATTCAATTGCATTTGATTCTTTGTATGTTTATTTTGTTGTTGTCATGCATCACTGTGTTCTTCATTTATGACCTTGTCATGTCCAGTATGTTCTGTGATCACATTTTTAAACTGCTTTGATAAATAAAAACGTATTTTTGCATCTGCACCGGTTTCATTTATTCATTTCATTACATTTCTCATGATGATTTCATACTGAACCTGATCATTCCATGACAGCAGCTGATGTCCATGTTCATTATTTACACTCATGATCATGGATGATGAAATGTTTGCGTAAGCATTTCCTTTCAGTCATCAGTGAATAGAGGAAGTGGTAAACCTCAACCAATCACATGCCGTCTTGCCCCGGTGAATCTGGTTATGTGTGTGTTTCTCAACTCGAGGTCTGGAGAAGCCAGATCAGCTCCGTTCTGATTCTCTGGAAAGAAAAACCCCACATACGTCTAAATATATCGCAACATGTTTCCAGCCTCCTTTGTTTTAGCAGTATTTTTTTCCATTGGCAATTCAGAAAGTTCAAAAGGCATTCGAAAATGTACCATCTGCCATTAGTTTAAAGGAATAGTTCACCCAAAAATGAAAATCTGCTGAAAATGTGCTCACCCTCAGGCCGTCAAAGATCAGGATGAGTTTGTTTCTTCATCAGATTTGTAGAAATGTAGCATTGCATCAGTGTCTCAGCAATGGATGCTCTGCAGTGAATGGGTGCCGTCAGAATGAGAGTCCAAACAGCTGATAAAAACATCACAAGTAATCCACACCACTCCAGTACACCAGTTCACATCTGGAGAAGACAAAAGCTGAAACTAATCCAACATTAAGATGTTTTTAACTTCCATTGCTTCTGGCCAAAATACGAGTCCATAATCCATAATAACAATAAAAGTGTTCTGGTCTGAAACAGGAGAGAAATCTGCACAGATCAAGCAGCGTTTAAACAGCTCTAAACACATATGTGTGTGATTTTGATGTGAGAGACAACAGGAGATGGATTTTTTTCACTGGAAGAAGCGTTATTATGGATTATGGACTCATATTTTAATTTACAAACATGCAGCTTTTGCTTCACGATATGTTAACTGATGGACTGGAGTGCTGTGGATTACTTGTGATGCTTGCTTTAGATTTATTTATTCTTGTTGATTGAATGGTTGATGTCTAAAATATGCATATATGGGAAAGCTGAAAAAACATAGTCTTCACGCACTGAACAAAACACCAAAACAAAGGACTCAAGTTAAATCTCAACTGAAATAATAAGAATTCCTCTTGAGAAGTCACATTTACAGTGAGATTATACTGTATATTTGTGAGCAAGAGTACCAACATGTTTTAACATCGCTGTGATCAAAGCTGAATCTTCAGTGTCACGTGATCTTCAGAAATCATTCTAATATGCTGCTGGAGAAGCATTTCTGATTATTATCAGTGTTGAAAACAGTCGTGCTGCACAATGTTTTTGTGGAAACCGTGATGCATTTTATTTTTCAGGATTCTTTGATGGACAGAAAGTTCAAAAGAACAGCATTTATTTGAAATAGAAATCATCTGTAACATTCTAAATGTCTTCACTGTCACTTTTGATCCATTTAATGCATCCTTGCTGCATAGAAGTGCTCATTTCTTTCAGAGGAAGTGTAATCAGCGCCTGCTGTGTGTGTGTGTGAGTGTGTGTCTCTCTCTCTCAGATCTGATGGAGTCGGTCCTCAGGTGTATGCAGGCGTGTCGGCGGCTGCTGGTGGTGCTGAGCTCGGACTGTCTGTGCGAGAAGAGCATCAGTCTGCTGGAGTGTCGTCTGTGTTTGTACCTGCATCACGCGTCGCGCGCGCCCCTCATCACCGTGAGACGGCGCGCGCTCAGCGCCCCCTGCGGCGACATCGCGGAGCTGCGCAACAACTCCACCTCCGTGCGCTGGCACGGCGCGCGCTCCGATTGCACCGATTATATTTCTACTGACATTTAGCATACTTCATACATACTGTATACTACGTATACTATCAAAAAGGAATGGCTTTGAACATAAATGCTGCAAATGCTTCAGTTTATTTACATCTAATGAATTATTATAATTATCTAGACTCAGAATAACATTATAAGACATGGCAAAAATAACAAAACAAAAAAAAACACACCAAATAAAAATAAAGCCTCCACTATTTCAAAAAAATTAAATAAATAGTGCTATCTACGTACGTGAAACAATATTTATGTACGCTAAAATATTGTCATATGACATAAATACATTGCATGTTTAATTTGACAAGTTGCATCCAGTTGTAAAATTTAACATAAAAATGTATTAAATTAATTTTAAATATTTTAACCTCTGGCAATATGTGACCCTGGAGCACAAAACCAGTCTTAAAATAAATACCATTTTATGAAAATCTAGCTCAAATGGAGTTTGGGTTTGGTTGTCGACCAGCGGATGACAGCATTAGTGTTTTGTCCGTCATTAGAACGGCTGCATCTGAGGCAGTGAGTGCATCGCATTACGTTTTCATCAATTTACAGGTTATACAGTTATATGCATTGCAGTATTTCACGCATTGAGCTCTGGTTGCCTGTATTGCACCGATTATATTTCTACTGACATTTAGCATACTTCATACATACTGTATACTACATATACTATCAAAAAGGAATGGCTTTGAACATAAATGCGGCAAATGCTTCAGTTTATTTACATCTAATGAATTATTATAATTATCTAGACTCAGAATAACATTATAAGACATGGCAAAAAAAAAACAAAACAAAAAAAACACACCAAATAAAAATAAAGCCTCCACTATTTAAAAAAAAAATATATAGTGCTATCTACGTATGTGAAACAATATTTATGTACGCTAAAATATTGTCATATGACATAAATACATTGCATGTTTAATTTGACAAGTTGCGTCCAGTTGTAAAATTTAACATAAAAAATTATTAAATTAATTTTAAATATTTTAACCTTTATAACCCGCAATATGTGACCCTGGACCACAAAACTGGAGTCAATTTTTGAATAAATAAGCTTTTCTATTGATGATGCTACCACTCAGAGCACTCAGTGACCGCATAGCAACACCCTGGCATCCATAGCCGTTTCTCAAAATGCGTTCTTGTCTGTACTTGTGTTCTTGTGGACTTGTGAAACGTCATCAGTCGTTGCCCAAGCACTGTTCCAATTCAAAGTTCACTTCTAGCCAAGTACACTTCAAATCCCCGGATGTGTTCTTGCTCCGCCCCTTTTACCAAGGATGCATCAAGAGGTGACTTATGCGAACTTGAGGCAACCAGGTATACCAGAATGCATTTCGACACCAACCAGTGAGTGTTAATGGCGTAATTTTCAAAATATTATTGTTATTGTGTCATGAAACTTAGTTTTAACAGTTTTACAGGTGAGAATGTATTTGTTTAAAACTCATATATGTGGTTTATTTATAACGATAGCGCCTATTTGAAAATTTGCTTTGCCGATTTCGGAGACGTGAGCTCCAGGCGATCACCGGGTGTTCAGTGCTGATGATAATATATGCACACCTTAGCAACTGCATACCAACACCCTGACAACCCTCCAAAACTCCCTAACTCCCACTCAGAACACTCAATGACCGCATAGCAACACCCTGACAACCACCATCTTAGCAATAGCATAGCAACATCCTAACAACCACTCAGAACACCTTAGCTCCTGAACTACCTAGCCACTTTTAGAAATACCTTAGAAACTGCATAGCAACACCCTAACAACCACTCAGAACACCTTAGCTCCTGAACTCCCTAGCCACTATTAGAAATGCCTTAGCATCTGCATAGCAACACCCTAACAACCACTCAGAACACAGAAGCATTGTCACTGCCAAAGTAAGGAATTGCAGGTGGTTTTGCCATGTCAATATTCACATTTTCTTCATAAAATGTACAAATCTAGTTATATTGACTAATATTATGGTACTTTTATGGTTGTTTTATGACATTTTTCAGTGCTTGACAGATCCTGGTTACTGCTTTTGTTGTATGGAAAAGAGCAGTCTGGACATTTGGCTAAACATTTCCTTTTGTGTTCCATAGAAGAAATAAAGTCATACGGGTTTGCAGTGACATGATGGTACAGTAAGCAATTGCTTACTGCAATTGAACATGTAGTATACTTGTACTGAACATTCTATTATAAATAGAAGCAAATCAGGTGGGAAATAAACAAATGTCACCAACACAAGCAGCAGCTTCACGTTCCACAATGCCTTTCACTAGACCTATTAACCAGGTTTTCAGATCACATTGATTAACCCATGTCCCAACCACAATGGCATTCTCAAATACACTTTGGATATCATACAGCAGGAAGTAAAATCACACAACAACACATCCCGTAAGAGGAGGACAAACAGAAAGTCTGTGACTGTCAGTGGGTCTGACATTCATGACATTATTGTAATATCTCAGCTGCTTCTCCTAGAACGCTGTAAAATTTAATGGAGATTTTGACTGAAGTCTCCTGCTTTTCAGATGATTTTACTGACATAAAGGTCCCTAGAGTCTCGCACTGTAGTTTGAAAAGAGGAGCAATGTCTCAAACTGTGCTCAAATATACCAACACTGCAAAAAATTATATTCTCACTCAGTAATTTTCTGTTATTTTCCAGTACAAATATTCAAACATTCTTAAAAACAAGAACAATTTACTTGAGAAGCAAGATAAGAGACTGACCCCATAAGCAAAAACTCATTTCATTTTGATACATTTTTCAGAAAATAAGACTTAATGTCTTGTGTCATTTTGCTTCTCAAGTAAATGTATCTTGATTTAAGAATGTTTAGATATTTGTACTGGAAAACAAGACAAAAATACTGAGTTAAAAAAATAATTATTTGCTCAGAAAATACATCTGAAATCAAAAGTTCTCAATATCAACTCAAACATTTCTCTCTAAATTCTCAGAAAATCTAATGATCTAAGCTGCTCCATATTTTTAGGACTTTCCCCCTGTAGCTCAAACTGTAGAGCATGACACTTGCAACACCAAGGTTAGGGTTCGATTCTGAGGGAATGCAATGTAGTCACAAAGTTTCTGATGAATGCACGAATAAACTCTGGGTAAAATAGTTAAACTTGCATCCTAACGGAGTCACATAGTGGTAGTTGTTTACCAGTAACTCAGGTGAGTATTGTGTGGGTTGATCCAGGCTGAATTCATGCAGTTCTTGTGAAGTCAGGAGATAACAAAGAGTCGTGTGTGTGTGTGTGTGTGTGCGATCACTGAGCTGTTGCCATAGGAATGTTTTCAGAGTTATCATTTGATCAGGTGTGAAAACATACATAATCATCGCTAAGCCATGTCATGTGACGTCACATCTGTGAATGAGCTCGCCATGAATCCGTCTCACCTGAATGCACACAAACATTTGTTTACATTTCACGCAGGAATTTCCCAGCAACGTTTATTGTTATTCAGTCAACTGAATTATAATGTAAAACAACATTTTCCTTCAGGTGACCTTAAATGTCCCCACAAGGTCGACACCAAAACCTCTCTCATAAAAAGCCTGCAGGTATTTATTATGACAGTGTTGTTATACCAAACCGCTTCAGAACTACATCCCATAACACCTTCAATTTGCTATATTCCCTCTTTTCTTTTATCCGTGAAGACAAACGTTTCATGAAACCCCACAAACATAATATTAAACAATTAAAGAAAAGCACTATAAGCAAAGAAATGAATGATAAAAATAAAAACGAAATAAAAATAATTACTGAAACAATAAAGAATAAATAATCAGTTGATAAATTGCATGAATGCCTAATGAATATAAATGAATTAAAACAGTCCTTCAGTTTAATATATTTTAAGTTTAAATGACTTGTACAGTCAATTTGAATAATATTGTAATATATAATATAATTATAAAATAATACATTTAGCAACTGAACTTAAGTTTTTATGTTGAAGTAGGTGGAAATATTTTAAAGTGAGTTTTATTTAATTTAGTAATTCATTGTAGTTTAGTTAAAAATGATCATTCTGTTATCATTTTGAACCAAACCATTTTGGGACCCATTGACTTGCATTGTTTTTTGGTACTATGGAAGTCAGTGGGGCCCAAAATCATTTGTTTACCAACATTCTTCAAAATATCTTCTTTTGTGTGTGAAGGATGACAGAATTTTCCCTTTAAGTTTACTTTAGTCCAGCTTCGTTCAGTTCAATTTCAGACAGTTCAGAAACCGTATTAAAATTTATTTTCAGCAGTATTTGTTCGTTCAGGCATGCGTTCAGTTCTGTGAAACTGTTGCTCTGTGGTTACTCTCTTAATAAAGAGCACTTCCTCTCTCTCTCTCTCTCTCTCTTGCTCGCTCACTCTCTGTCATCTTAAGGAACTGTTATTTGTGTGTGTTTCATTTCATCTCTTGCGCACTGGAGGAGAAACCCGTGAACCTTAGTAAGTGCTCTCTCATCTTAACCTCTTTACTGACACATTTCATCATTTTATTACTCTTGCTCCACATACACACTTTCACACACTTTGACTGTCACTTGTGTGCAGCTGGATCTGATGAAGGCTTTTGTAGATCTGGACACGATCTGATTAGTCTGACACTGAAGCGTCTCTGGTTATGCTGGAGAAGGAGTAGTTAAGCTGGCGTTTCTCTTGATTTCTCTTCCCTTTTGTTAGCACTGTGTCTGTGATCTGCCCACAGCAGCTTTTATTTCCTTTAATCAGTTCCAGTTTAAGGTGGATCATTTGTGAAACTCTTTGATTTCACTGTAATGTGTCACACGTGAACTCTGAACTATCTGTGGCAGATCAGCACTATCAGTGTGAGGCATCTCAGGCGGTTTAGCACCAGTTCAGTTTAGTATAACACATTTAGTTCAGTCTAGTTTACTTCAGTTAAATGCCCTATGCAATAAAATGGCCCAACCGGTTTAGTTTTTAGCGTAATTTAGTTTAGTTGAATTCTCTCTGCAGTAAAGGGACCCATTCAGTTTAGTCTAGTTTAACTTAGTTAAAATAATATATACAGTAAAATAATAAAAAGTTTGGTTTAGCTTAGTTTAATGCCCTCTGGCGTAAAAAAACAACACAATTAGACTAGTTTACTATAGGTTTCAGCTTAGTTTATTCCTTCCAGCTTAGGTTAACGTAGTAAATAATGTCAAGTTTAGTGTAGTACATAATGGCAGAACAAGCTTTAGTTTAGTTTAATGCCCTCTGCAGTAAAGCAACACAATTTGTTTTTAGTTTAGTTTAGATGAATGCCATTTGCAGTAAAGCAGAACTATCAGATTAGTTTAGTTACACTTTCTCTACAAATAAAATGGTACAAGTAGCTTGGTTTATTTTGGTTTAGTGCATTCTACAGTGAAGCAACACAATAGTTAATTTTCTCTGTCTACAGCACAAGAGGACAATCGGTTTCCTTTCACTCTGTTCTGTCTCTCTCTCTCTCTCTTTAGTTGAGCTTTGTTTAGTTGTCCGACAGAGGGTGTGTTGTGTGGGAATTCCCTCTGACAGTATCGATATGAAGTTAATGACATCACCTCTCTCCCTGTCTCTCTGTGTAGGCGTTCAGTTCCTGTTTCGAGAGTCTATGCTTACTGCTGACACAGATGAGGAAGACATGAAGAAGCCAGTCTGCTCTCTGTAAGTGCTTCAGCTGTTCACTCACATCCATCAGCATGAGTTTACAACTGCGCTGCTTATACACTCACAGATACAGGTACAGCACTTTGTGTGTGTGTGTGTTTGTGTGTGTGTGTGTGTGTGTGAGTGTGTGAGTGTGTGTGTGTGTGTGTGTGAGTGTGTGTGTGTGTGTGTG